TTGCACCTGGCTGCTGTCACCGCCCCAGTGAGGACAGCCCCAAGTCACCACAGAGCCGCCGTCCAGGATGGCAGCAAATGCACGCTGGGTTGCTTGGATCTGCTGGACCCGCACCAGCGGCTCTCGCACCTGACTGCTGTCACCACCAACAGAAGCATTGCCCCAAGTCACCACAGAGCCGTCGGCCAGAAGAGCTGCAAAAGCACATTGTGTTGCTTGGATCTGCTGGACGCGCACCAATTGTTCTTGCACCCGGCTGCTGTACCACCAGCCAAAGGCTCTCCCCAAGTCACCACAGAGCCATCAGCGAGGAGGGCAGCAAAAGCATAGCGACCTGCTTGAATCTGCTGAACCCGCCCCAACCGTTCCTGCACCTCGCTGATGTTGAATGTTGCCTCCAAACTGAGGATTGCCCCAAGCCCGCACAGAGCCGCCTACCACGTGCATGGCAAAGGTTTTATCTGTGGAAGCTAGCCTTACGGGCTGCACGACTGCAACGTGATCCCCATTTCGCATGCCCGCCTCCCACATTCAGACGACAAACAGAGCTGGCCTTCCAAGAGGATAAGAAAGCTGCGCTTCAGCTGCCGTTCTGCAGCCTGAAGTTCATGGACGCCCGACTCCGGCAACAGATGGAGCAACCCCCACTTGGCAAGTACACATCGCATTGTGCGCCCCTGAGTCCACAGCCAATGCTGCAGCTACCAAGCACAACACGGCTTGAGTCGCAATCAAAACCTGGTACTAAAGTGGTCTACCCAGAGCCATGTACAGGACCAAGAAGGCCGCAGCTATTTATGGTTGGGATCATCCTTACTAACCTTCATCTACCCGGGTTTTGATTGTGGCTCGCTTGACTTTTATGCTTGTCCAGCGCCTGTGTTCCGGTGTTTGCACCCAGAATCCTGCAAGCGCACATCGACTGCACGGCCTTCAAGGACTCCAGCTAAGAAAGCCCAGATAACCAGGGAAGCCTGTTTCACCTGGCCCGCTTTTGCACAAGCCATGGCTGTTCTTCACGGAGTCCAAAACTATCGATCGCGTAGGAGTCCATTCGGAAGAGGGGCCACAGCTACACTTCGCCAGCCTGGCCAGCTACAGCTCCCAACGTCACCCAGCTTTACAGACACTCCACCCACAGCACCAGCTTCACCAGCCACCGGCTTCCCCAGCTGCCCCCAAAAAATCGCCCACGCCAAGAGATAAACCTCCGAGGCATTTGGGTCACTCTGGCTGATGCTCACCAGATTCCCATGATGGACAAATGTATTGTACCTCGAAGGAGGAGCCGGCTGCTTGTATCAAGAGCCCTTTACCCTCTAATTACTCCCATGCGAATCCGAAAACCATTGCATCGGCCTCAAACAAGCTTGAGGTCCACAGTTCAGAGCAAAAAAAAAGTGTTGTTTCTTCTTCTTTTTTGCAAGAACGCTTGAACACAGGTGGCCTTTTGGAAAAATAAATGGCCCTGGTAAATGGAATAAACCCCATCTGAACCAGTGCCATCATTTTTTTAACCAAACTAACCTAAAAAGGACACCCATGCGCTCGAACATACTCCTTTGTGTCTGCTTGCCAAACCACAGCGGTTTATGACCTGCCCTTTGCTGTCATTCTCCCCAAGTGGCGGTCGGGGGTGTGCTCAACCAGAGAAAGATATGGGAGTGACCCAAAATAGGGATTTTATCGTTTTCTCCAAACCGACCCCAAAACAGGACTCCTCCCTCACAAAAAAGAAAACATGTTAGCCGAACACCCAAGGGTCTCCCGTGTCTCCTTGGCTTCGCTCTTCTTGGCAGAAGCGCCAACGCCCATGGCGAAAGGGCTCGAGTTCCCTCGCTGGCTGAGAGCGACGACTTCCGCCCTTCACTTGTCAGAGTGAGCATGTGTCCTGCAATACGGACCCGCAGTCAAACGAAAACATCAGCGGAACGTGAAGAAACTCACCTCTATTCCTCTGATCCAATGTAGCGTGGAGGTTCGGTCAGAATGACCGGAGCGGGGGGACGTATCCCATGGCTGCCGCAGTTTGAGTCTCTACTGTGCGTAGCGTAAATGGCCAAGGCGGGATTCCCACGTCGGTGCTGAACACGAGCGCTTTGAATGAACTTTGTTTTGTGTGTGTGTGTGTGGCTCGTGTCACATTTGCAGGTGCAAAATCTTGGTGCGTGCGGCATGTCGGGTGCGGATGCGTTTCTGAGTGAAAAGGCAGCGAATGATAAAGCTGCTGTGTGGACCTTAAATTCCGAAGAACCACATGTCCCTACACTTGACGCATTTTGCAATAACCAGTAGTAGTTGCCAAATAGAGAGCTTGTTTCACCAAAGCGTTCAAATCACAGGCTTCAGGTGTCTTCTTTCGTGACCGGCATTTGGTTGAAGATCAAAGGCTGCCGAAATCCAGAATGCCCTTAGGAAAGCAGCAGCACACGCCCTTTCTTTCCACACACACTGGGACGAAGTGAACAAACAAGCCCTTAAATAGTCTTTCTCATCCGCAAATGATTTGCGGAAAGTCCTACCGATCAATGCCAGCCACCATGAACATGGGCTTGGTACCACTCAAGGCTGAGCCTGAATCTTGGATACGCAGCGTTCAGTCTCCCTCTTACCCACCTTGGGTTGCAGCTGCGGATTCTCCTGATCACAAATACCAACATCCTGACTAAAATGTGTGACAACTGGACATGCCAAGTAAGACATTCCCTGCCCAAGTGGCTTTCCGGCGAAACACTCACTGGCTTGCACGAATCCCAATAACCTGCACTGCTTGCTGCTTAAGCAAAAGATTTGGGTCACGTGCACACTGCTCAAACTTGCATTTGTCAGGTTGCTCCCAGTGAGCACGCACCAAGTAGTTTCATACGGTTCCCAGCCATCCCTCCAGTGCAGCCGCCAAAGCCGCCGCAGCGACTCCGCGTTTTGTTTTCTCTTCCCCAATGCGCAGGAGACCCACGCTGGAACCTCTGGCCTGTCTCCAAAGCAGTACCCAAGCTGACACATCAATGCGGCTCAAGGGGCCCTTTCTTAACTAGGTCCTCCAGTAGAGAGGTTAGAATAAGGGTACCCGTTTTTCGGTAGTCTATTTTAGTAGGGGAACCCTCCCCAAAAAAAGGGTAAAAGGGCTACTGGGGGCCCTTTCTAAAACAACCGCGGCACAGTGTCACAGGCTTTGGCGTCCAGTGCTGTCCAGTGTCAAGCCTTGAGTTGAACTGCTCGGGAGTTGCCTCATAAGCTTTCATTATGCGAATTAGGCGAATCGAGCGCGGCTCACACTCCAAGCCGGCTCGATCGGATGCAATACAGCAGACAGGGGCAATGGTCGAATTATGCGGACGCAAAAGGCTGCTACCTCTTGCAGCTTCAGTGAACAGCGGATGTATGCATCGTTCTGAAAGGGCCCGACTGCGAACGTTCATCCAAATCGAACCTTTTCTGAGATTCGAGAAAACCAATAAACATCCCGACTGCTGGGGTGCATCAAATTGAACCTTTTCTATTATTCGGGAAAACAAACAAACATCGGCTGGGGGGATTTCATTTTCACCATCATTCCTGGGGTGTCATGTTGGTTGACCCAAAATCAAAGGCCAAAGGTGTTGTGATGTGTTGAGCCATATGCACGAGTCGTGGACCATTGACTCAGCCTGCGAAGCGTGCATGTCCATTTTCCCCGTGACTTGCCTGGATTCTTTCTGTGGGGGCCAACAAATGGAATTCCGTCCAAACTTGCCTCATGACATTGCAAGCTGTGGGGCACAGCTGGTTCCATTGTCAGGTGACTTGGTCTTAACACAATTGCTCTGGCGTAGCAAGCTCGTCACGGAGATATCCAGGAAGCAAAGATGCGTGAAACTTGATGCCTGGGCCGGTACCCAGCTACCCAGCTCGTTGGGCGAGGACTCAGCCACCAAGAATGTATCATGTACACAACATGCATGACGATGCGTTGCTGTCAACCAAGACAACTCGCAAAGCAAACTCAGATGGCACGCTAGCCCAGCCCTTCTTCTCCGAAGCATCCTCTTTGGCACATGAGCATGCTCATGATGCTTCCACCTGGAAAGTGCTCTCCGTGCTGAATGTTCGCACTTCTGCCAGCACCCTCGTTGTCTAGGGTGCCATGTTCACCTCAGACTACAACAGGAGGTATATAGCATGTTGGAAAAATATCACATTTATTTCAAGTATACAGTATGCCCTAAAAGCCGGTTATTTGGCTTAGGAGGTTCTACGGGTCTAAGCCTAATCACCATAGCCAGGGTCCAAACTCCCGCGATGTGGGCCATGGAGATGGCTTCAGGGAGCCGTGAGCCAGAAGGCTTCTTTGACCATAGCACAGATTTTTCGCGCGAGTCCCATTGTATACTAACACTAAGGTTCCCAGGAACTTCACCCGGGTCCAGGCAGCTTCTGAGTATTGACTCAAGTGTTGAGTCGAGTACCTCCTCAAAGGTACTAAGGACCACCACGGCCATCTGGGTCCATTGTTTCTTGGCTCGTACCCCGCTTCTCTTTTGTTGCGGGGAAAACCCAAAGGAAACCCCCCCAATTTTGCAGAATTGGGCACCCTGGTAGTGCGCTTTTGCGCGTTTTGAGGCTTCCAATTTTAAGGGATCCCCGTGTCCGAAATGGCCTCAAAAGGCTCCAACACCCAAGTTGGGGTTTCGTCGGGTGCGTCTTGGGTTGGGGGGCAGGGAGCGGGCAACTGGGACAGGAGTGTCTGTTGTTGGCTCCTTGCCGATTCACATAGAACCCAACAAAGTGACTTGCCATCTGGGCTAACTTCTAGTGGGTTAAATGGACACCCCACTAAACGCTAAAAGGGGCTCAACCTCTGTCAAACTTCATATGGCCATGGGTCAAAAGCCCGTCCCCCCCAGTGAACATCCCAATCCCCACGAAAATAGACTAAAATGGGTGGTGCACCCACCCCAAAATGGTACCCTTGGTTTTGACCCACAGCCATATCCGCAGACACTGCCTGCAGGGAGACGGAGTCAATCCTGGCCGGCGGGGCTTGTCTTACGGCTTTGGGGCTTCAAAGAGCTGCGCAGTCGCAACGCTTCCCTACTGTGGATGGACGGAATCCTGCACCAGATTAAACCCATGAGCTTCGGTGGTGCAGGATACGAGCCATCCTCTGGAAGTTCTGCTTTCTAAGGGCCACCCTGCATACCCCAAATGGGCATACCCCAACAAAAACTAGCGGTTTTGCATGGGTTATAACGGCACAGACCCCAAAATCCATCCCTAATGCCTACAGGTGGGGTACGTCTATTTTGGGGTGGGTAAGTGGGTCCTTAGATGCTTGCTTGGGCAATGCCTTAAGTTCTGGTCCAGTTGCATTGACATAGTTTTTGCTTAACCATGCCTAGCTCTGTAGCCTTCAACACGCAACTAATTCAGGTATGAACCACAAAATCGACCTCGGGCAGGCCGTGGCCCGATTCATTAGAGCTGCCACAAAGAGGTGCATGGCTGGACAACTCATCAGTTCCCATGCCGCTGCACTCCATTGGTTCTACGATGGCCAGGAAGATCCCTCAGCGGTTACTCGCCTGTCATGATCGTATACAACCAAAAACAACAGGTCCCGATTTCGGAGCCTTCGCTTGAGTCTCTCTCCTAACACGGGTTCTTAACAAGGCCCCCAAAAAACGGCATCCCCTTTCCGAACAACTCCTGAGTTAAGTCTTACCTCCAGGTTTTCCTCCTATGTTGACTTCCTTGGTTCCCTACCGGGATCACTGGGCGGTCACTTATCACAGGATGCCTTTAAATCAAGCGATGGAGCCGTTCAACATGGGTATTTCTCTACCGCGATACTTCCCCTCGCTTGGACCTTGTTTGCAGGGGCTGGATCCGACGCAGCCACAGCTCTAGGCCTTGATTCCCCATTCTTTCAATCTGTTTCCCTGGGTTGTTGATGGTTTCCTGAAAAGATTCGGATCCCTGGAAATGGGGAAGGCCCGATTCGCCTCGCCTCCATGGTGACCTGGCCCGGCCGCTTGGCCACGAAGAACCTCGGAGCATCGGATCGCATGCGGCCGAAACGAGAAGTTGGTCAGGTCCAGGGACGCAGGTGGAAGTACAAGCAGACATTTGGGGCACCTTAGCCGGAACGTGGTTCTCCAAGTTGCTAGGTTCCTTTGGAGTAATTAAGCTGTACCCAAAACTTCACCTGAGGACAAAAAAAGAGACCAGGAGTCCAAAAGGCGGAGAGGCCCTTTTGTGTGCACGGCGACCCCCTTTTCTCTGGCTCGCGCCCTGAGGACTTGGAGCCGGCACTTTGCCGCGGTTTTGCTCGTGTTCCGGCCACGACGTGCTGAAATCAAAAGACAAGCGTGCGATTCCCCAAACGAAGCTAGAATATATTGACAAGCAGATGCCGTCCGTTACTCACCGCCCAGATTGCAAAATTCAGCATGGCCAAAGTGTAAAATGAAAAGATCGGCCCCTATCAGGCCTAGACAGCTTGCCTTCGGACAGTGGCTTTCAATTGGCCAGCAGGGTTTCCCAGTCTTGAGCCACTGCTCCAAAGGCTACTTGGGAAGAATGTGTTTGCCATCGATGTGAGGCCTCCTTGCAGTGGTTGATATCCCGGCAAAGCTTCTGCGATAAACGTCACTCATCCTCGAAGAGAAGCCTGTGTGGATGGGCATTACCAGACAAAAGCCTTGGGAACAAATTCAGAAGTTGCGGAGATGATCTCAACAGAAGCCAGGTTTACGTGAATATATCATACCTAAAACACAGGCATCATTCGCAGCCTAACAAGTTGCCAGAATCCGTTTTCTCCTCCAGAAAAACAAAAGAGAGACAAAAAGAAAGAAATCATAGAAACAAATTAAACCAACCAGAAACACCACGTCCTGCCTCGGCACAAAGCGGCTGTAGCCATGAATCTCAGGGCTCCGGCGCCAGGCTGGAAGATTCAAACCTCAGTGCACAGGAACCCTCCCTGCCCAGTAAGCCTATGCCAAAGCCGTCGAGGTCACTCACCTAAGGCCCAAACGATCAGGAAAATCTTTGGGCCTTAGGTGATCCGAAAAAAAAACAAAGGAAGAAGAAGAAAAAGAAGAAGAAGCAGACCCAATCCCCTGGAAACAGCTGCGTGCCCAAGCTGAAACTAGCGACACTCTTCAGGCGGTCGGGCAAGTGTTAACATGTCCAAGCAGCGGCTGGTACTACCTGGTACCCTGGCCAACAGCAGCCCAACACAAATCTATGATCGTCAAGATAGGACCAACAAGCCATGCATTCTGTTTGTAGAGAGAAGTAATCATTCGTCGTCTCTGCCATTCAGGGCGTGTGACAGACTGGTCGTCAAGACCATGTTTCGGGCGTAGCAGGTTGCTTGACAGTACCCTCCCCCCAACTCAAAAGATAGCACCATGTTAGCAACCGCCGAAAGTCCCCTCATTCCTGTTCTGGGAGGGCCTTTCTGGCGCTTACCGGCAGTGTTGGATTTCAAGTGGGCGCGGTGCGTTGAACATGCTCAAACAGGGGAAGAACGTCCCGGCAGCTGAGTCCACCAAAGCCATGGTTGCAACCAGGGTACCATTTAGCGATTCGTCCAAGACTGTGTAACCCCGGCTTGAAGCAATCAACACCTGGAAACTCCGGAAATGGGGATCAACGGTCAGTTCAACCAATCAAGCGGAGCCTTGACGGGTCGGCGCAGGTGTCAAGAAGCCCGCCCCGCCATCCCACGTCCAGCCATCTTCCAACCCTCTAAGAGGGGCCCAATTCATCCGCCCCGCTTGGCTCCCCAGCCACTTCTTGCCGAAGTCCCCGGAGACCTGTGAAGGCCCAAAGGATGCACATGGCCATGGGTCAAAATCCCGGTTACCCCCCAGTGAACGTCCCAATCCAACCACTAAAATAGGTTCTAAAATGGGTGGTGCACCTACCCCCAAAATGGTACCATTGGTGTTGACAACAACAACCGCATGGCTCCCATCTGCAAATGGAAGTTGTTTGCTGCGTCAAAGCTAACCCACTACTTAAAGGGGCGATCCATGCAGGCTGCGTCAGGTAAGCGGCGGTATCATGGTGAGACCCACAAAAGTGAGTCATGGTTTGTTCAGTCTCCGCTCAGTGGGTTGAATCCACCAGGCTACACCGATCGCCCCGTTTTTGTGGTTGCAACAACACCCGATAGCCCAAGCCAGGGGGAGCAAAGCACGTTTGACCGCAAAGGGTCATTCAATTGGCGGTTGCCTCAGTCCATGGCTGCAACCTCCTCAATTCGGTCGGATTGGGATGCTCAATATGTTGGGCTGTTGTCGACCTACACAAACGCACAAAAGTGCACATGTGGGTATGGGTCAAGATCAAAGCACCAGGATATGGAACGCAGGTTTTAGTCCATGTAACCAGGGTTCCATTTTGGGGTTATCCTATTTTCACCCACACCCATGTGTGAATTGCGGCTGACATTTGATTGCCGAAAATGTCTTTGTCAAACGATCTATAGCGGCCTCTTTGAGCGGCTGCCGCCTTGATCCTATGCAATATCCAAACAACTGGAAACTTGCAAGTTATTAAGAAAGCATACCCCCCCCCCCCTTATCCCCCCCCTCCCTTGAGACATGCTATAGCACTGCTATTGGAGTGTTATTGCACTGTTAAAGCATTTTGCTCCCAAGGCGTTCCCCACTGACTGGCTGCGCGACAAGCGCTGGAAAATGACACCCACCACTACGCTCATGCTCGTCCCCCTCGCACCCTTCCTTCCCCGGCCCCCTGCCCTGCCCGTCCGCTCCCCGGAAGCTTCAGAAGTCCGCAACTCTTCCGCAAGGCTTCCGCAAGGCTTCCGCAAGGCTTCCGGAAGCTTCCCCAAGGCTTCCGGAAGCTTCCCACCTATTTGGCCCAAAGGAAAGGGGGGGGTTGGGGGGGGGGTGGAGGCTTCTTAAAGTAACCCTGCAGCCTGCGATACTGTGGAGAGACGAAATCCATTTCGAACCACCCAAGAAACGCAACGGAATGATTCGATTCCCCTGAACAAAAGCAGCAAACAATGGTTTCAACCAAACCCTGGATGAATGAACAAAGACAACAATGGTTTCAACCATGGGTTCTATTTGGCGCTCAATGGATTTCGCAACCATCCAGCAGGGGGCGTCCACCGCCTTACCAGAAAAGCACAAAAAATAACAGAGCACCCGCGACCGCAAGAAAACCGCCCTGGCGTTCATGGCGCGCCTCCCACTTGTCGCTGGTCTCGTCGTAGTCTCCCAGGCCACCGGTCCTCGGCTGAAGAAAAGGCAAGTGGAAGCTTTCCACTCGAAAGATGAGAACATACTGTGGCTGGACGAAGCGCCACTTCCATAGGAGACCGTTGTTTATTGGTATTTACGGGGGAATCGAATCAGAAACCAGGGTTTCTGAGGTGATGTGATCGGCTCCCTTGAAAGCGGAAATAACCCTTTCGGTGGGAGATTTTGTGGGAGGGAGACACACTTTCATGTGGTGCCCTTCCATTTCGTGTCAAAAGGCTGGCCCTGGCTGGACAAATCAATGACCCCAACCAACTGCACGAAGCACTCCACTGTTTAACGGGTTCTCAGAGAAGGGCTCCGAGGTTGAAAATCAAGGGCGGCCCAAGTGTAGCAACCCTTTCCGAGGGATGGTTGACCACACATTTGGATGCACAACACTCAAAAGTGACATGCACTGCGAGCAAAAGAAGCCAGATTCCAGGCCAAAACTTTTGCAAGTTTCCGGTCAAAACCTCAAGCAAAACTAAAAACTCAACCCATACCTATGGGTCCTTTGTCCATTCACTAGACCTGGCTGGGAGCCCCTCACCTCCATTCACTAGACCGCAAAAAAAAACATCGGCCGCCTGGCGATGCCCTGCGCCCGGAACACCGACCGACCGACCGACCACGACCGACCGAAATGCGCAAAGGCAACCTCCACCGACCGACCGACCGACCTCGCGAGTGGCGGCAGGCGCCTCTGGGCTCCCGGGCATCCCTCGGCACTCGCCGTTGGAGAGGATCCGCACCACAGCGCCCCTGGCGACCCAAAAAAGTCGGAGTCCAATGGGAAGCCAGGGACCCCAAGCAACAGATGTCAACTTTTGTTGCAAAAGCAGAAGCTACGTGCATTTGCGGGAGGGCGATGTGTTTAGTTGGTGTTCGTAGTTGTTTGCTTGCCTTCTTTGTGCAGATAAACGCAACCAAAAGAGGGGCCAAGAATCCCAGACAGAGAGCCACGGGGCCGCTTGGATCTGCTACATACTGTGGATGGACGACATCCTGCACCACCTAAGAAACCCTGGAATGGTTTGATTTCCCTGTAAATATCAATCAACAATGGTTTCAACCATGGCTTTCAAGTGGTGCCTAAGCAGATTTCGTCCATCCACAGTACTGCGAGGTTGATCTAGTGCACAAGGCTCACCACCGCCGATACTCCCTGCGTTTGGCCGCGCGTTGGTACCGGTACGCCCGCCCGGGCAGGGCCTCACGAAGCCGTGCTTCTTGCCCTCAGCTCGCAGGGGTTTCCAACCCGCAAGTGCTCCCCAGTTCCAGTTGCAGTAGAGCCCCCTAGAAAAAATAAAAATATTTCCGGTAGTGATCGATTCCTTTTAAAGCCAACAAGGGAAAATAAACACTATTCTTGAACAAATGGAAGTTCAAGGTTGTTGGTCCTGAACCTTGCAGCATTTGAATGCCCATTGCTTCGACCTTGATGAGCACTCAAAGATCAATTCACTCAACTCAAAGACCTGGCATCAACACCTTTGTTCTGAACATTCAAGAGTGACTTCGACCTGGCCATCACAGAAAGTCACATAGAATGTCACACTGCATTGCTCTTAGATGCTGGTGCTTCCTAAAGCAAAGAGCCCCTAAACAACCTGCGAACTTCCTAGTTCTCTTCTGGCAGCGACCAAAAGGGGACCTTTTCAATTCAGGACACAACTGCTTAACCAAAACTCAACGGGTTTGCCTTCCTAGTCGTCCCGTTGGAGTGCCTGAAGCGTTTTTGCTTCGGCTTTCCGTTTCTGCCACGCGGGGCTGGCCAAAAACCACCATGGCCAACCGACTGCGAAACATGGATGTACCTCCTACCCTCCCACCAACTAACATGGAAGTGCAAAAAGGCCCTTTCAAGAGGAAGCCGTCTTTCTACAGGGGTCTGTGCACTTCCATGTTAGCTGGTGGGAGGGTACCCTGATCCAGATTGGGGTCCCCCAAAAATGCGTTTGTCTATCCGGAAACCGAAATTCAGCAGCGGCATGGGGGGAAATAACCCTTTCCGTGATACCACTTGAATTGGGATCCCCATAGCCTCACTTTTGAGTGGATTTGTTTACCACCAATATGGTCTTCCGAAAAAGTGTAAAGTCCTGTCTAAAACCGGTCTTCTCAAAAAGTCTACAAAGTCCAGGAACTCAGGAAGTCAGTATCACAGAAACTACCATGTCCTCACAAAACTCCTCGTAGCACCTCCTTCTAAAGTGGCAACCCTTCTGAAAACCGATCCCCCTCCCAAACCCACTGTGGATGGACGAAATCCTGCACCACCTCAGAGAGCCTGGAAGGATGATTCCCCTGTAAATACCAACAAAGAATGGCTTCCCATGGTTTCCCACATGGTGTAGGAAGTGGCCACCCCAACTTCTTCCACCGCTCTCCCCTCCCGTCTCTTGCGCCGCGGAGAGAGGTCCCTCGCTCGATCTGTCGTTTTCTGGGCGCCCCCAGCTGGGGAGGGGCTCTCGGGCACAGGGCTCGGGAAGTCCTCCGGGCTGGGGCTCTTCAAGGCCGGGCTCGCCGGCGGCAGCTCCTGGGCGTGTCTGTCTCCCAAAATCCCGGGGCGTGGGTCGGGGGAGAATCGGCGAGCGGGGGAACGCTCCTGGGCTTTTGCTGATTTCCCCCCAGGGCGTGGGTAGGGGGGCGAGCGGGGGGAACTTGATAACGTGAACTCATTCTTGGCGGAATCTGCTTTTGTGTGAGCCCAACAACGTGGTTGCGGCAGGGAGAGTCTTGGCAGATCAGGGGTGTCCAAGGACCCGTTCTGGGTGGAGCTTCTGAAGGAACTAATGCAACGTGTTTGGTGTCCTTAGGGTTTGGTCACGTGGATCATTTCATAGCGAGGTGGGTATCGAGCCTGTCTGCATTTGCGGTTTGAAGATTGTGTCAGACCTTCGGCAAAAACAAAGCAACCCGTAAAACATATGCCTGTGGTTGGAAAAAAAGGTTTACTGTGCGCAGGGTTGGCATGAGAAACACATTGCATAAAGCGAAAACATGTCAAGTCAGCCAAGCCCCCTCCGAACAGATGTTTTCGCTTCACAAACTTGGAGGACCTGAGCAAATGCAAAACATGATTCGTGTTTGACCACAAACTTGAGGAGACATGATGCATGAATTCCTGGAACCACATCTCAACGGTCGGCTGTACACCCTGCTTGTGCTTGGGAGTGGCCTCCCGCGTGAAAAGTGATGCTACATTGCAACAGCTTAAGCACTCCACACGAAACACACTCCTCCCAGCTCCCGAGTCTGAAACCAATTCTCCTCTTGTAAGGAACCTTCAAACTGCCAAGCTCTTTGTATTCTCAATTGCCCAAAGGACCCAGAAATAAAAGGTTCACCTTTTGGGACCAAAACAGGAAAGCCAAAAGGTCAAAAGGTCAAAAGGTCAAAAGGTCGATTCGCTTTGGACAAGTGAGTATAAGCTTTAGCAACAGCCACAGGCATTGCCGCTTTCACGCCGCATACTGAGCGCCCCCACCGGGCTCTTGCGGGAAGCCTTCGGCACCTGCGCTCAAAACGCGCAGGAAACACCCGCCTTCCAAGCGGAATAAATTTCCGCAGGAACCAGATCTTTCCAGAGTGGGTGCATAGAATCTCAGGTTCAAGCCAGGGTAAGCTCATGCATAGACCCCTTGTCGCTCACTTGTGGGACATGGCAAAAAGCAGTGGAAAGGCACTATGGCCATGTGCATCAGACAGGTTTCACGGTCCTCAGACTTACAGAATGTGTTTTGCTCACCCTTGCAGAATTGCCATGCCGGTCGCGCGGCGACTTGAGCCCAGGGTCTTCCAGTCAGAAATGGCTTTCAGTCAGGTTTTTGCTCTTCTTAAAATATAGGGCGGGAACAGGATTCGCGCATTGTGGCAATTTGATCACTGATTGCTCTTGCCAAATGCGGACAACCCCTCAACAAACACGCATACCCAAATACTCAGTGGATCAGGCAGCAGTAAACTATTGTTTGAACCACCTGCTTAGTTGCAATGAACCGATGAACCATCACCCTTCCACAAACTACAAGCAGCTGGCATTTGCCCCACTAGGTGTTCGCAACCACCTACGCATCTTTCAAGGGTAATGCCGCGGCGCGTGCGCAAATACACCAAGTTAATCTCCGACATTCGACCTCTGCGGCAAACTGATGTTCTCTGCCACACAAGATAGCCTGGATGTCGTTTTCTGAAGTGTATGCCTTTTGGCACAATCCTAGAGGCTCAACACGCCACGTTTTCGGCATCCACAAGCTGGGGGCCATCCATTTAGAAACTTTAAACATCTGGTTGCTGGTTTTTTTTTCGGACTCCCTTCGTGCTGGTCCTTGTGCCTTCTTGCGGCCACAGTGTTTTGACATTCTCAATGGACACGACATTCTTGCACAAAAAGCCTGTACAACCTCAAGAAAGTATCCTCAAAGACCCAGCCTCAACCAACGTATCCTCCAACAAGACCACCCAAGTAAACTCTGTCCCCCCCACAACTGAAATTGCTCCACTGAAGAAGATCAGATTTTGTTTTGACCCTCTTTCTTGGGCGATGCGAAACCCCCTCCCCCCAGGAAAAAAAACAGAGAAGAAAGTGAAGTTGACCTGCTATTCTTCCTGGTGTTCAGTAGGGAATGAGGGAATGACGCCTAAAAACCATCCGGCGGTTTCCTTTAAGTGGACCCCTGGGTTCATTCCCCATTCCCCGAGCACGCACAAGAATTTGACTTCCTTTTAGGTGGTCAAAGCGTTCCCCGGATGGTTCCGGCGCTGGGCTTCCTAGCCGGCGGTGGCCCCATAGATCCAGCCTTGCGACCGGAGGGAAACCCGAAAACGTGTCGAGGCAATGTGCTGCTCCTGAACCCTCAAACTTCCCGTGCTGAATGGCTCATTGCCGCAAATGTATGGGGGGACTTCCATTCTTTTCATGGGTGGCTTGAGGGCTCAGACAACCTTATGTTCATGTTTCATGGTGGACTTTGGGCGCCAACTCCGGGGGGTCGTTGCTTTTCCCACATCCAAATCTGAACTTGTTTTGCAGCGAGTCGTTCGCGTGGCGCGTGGGGGGGTTGAACTGTGGCTGGATGTGGCTGGGCGAGGGAGGGTTGGGTGTGTGTGTGTGTGTTGTGTGTGTGTGTGTGTGTGTTGTGTGTGTGTTGTTTGTGAGTGTGTTGTGTTGTGTTGTGTTGTGTTGTGTTGCGTTGCGTTGCGTTGCGTTGCGTTGCGTTGTGTTGCGTTGTGTTGTGTTGTGTTGCGTTGCGATGCGTTGTGTGTGTTGTGTGTTGTGTGTTGTGTGTTGTGTGTTGTGTGTTGTGTGTTGTGTGTTGTGTGTTGTGTGTTGTGTGTTGTGTGTGTGTGTGTGTGTGTGTGTGTGTGTGTGTGTGTGTGTGTGTGTGTGTGTGTGTGTGTGTGTGTGTGTGTGTGTGTGTGTGTGTGTGTGTGTGTGTGTGTGTGTGTGTGTGTGTGTGTGTGTGTGTGTGTGTGTGTGTGTGTGTGTGTGTGTGTGTGTGTGTGTGTGTGTGTGTGTGTGTGTGTGTGTGTGTGTGTGTGTGTGTGTGTGTGTGTGTGTGTGTGTGTGTGTGTGTGTGTGTGTGTGTGTGTGTGTGTGTGTGTGTGTGTGTGTGTGTGTGTGTGTGTGTGTGTGTGTGTGTGTGTGTGTGTGTGTGTGTGTGTGTGTGTGTGTGTGTGTGTGTGTGTGTGTGTGTGTGTGTGTGTGTGTGTGTGTGTGTGTGTGTGTGTGTGTGTGTGTGTGTGTGTGTGTGTGTGTGTGTGTGTGTGTGTGTGTGTGTGTGTGTGTGTGTGTTTCGGGCACTTGCATCACACAGGCCGTCTCGCGCGCTCGCCAATTCAAAAAACACACACAGAAACAAAAAAACAACAAACAACAAACGTCGGTGTGGCCAGGCATTCAGGAACCCGTGCCACCCCAAAACAAAAGAAAAGACCAAAAAAGCAAACAAAACAAACTGTGGGCCAGCATGGCGAAACTGCAACATACACATCAAACGAAATGAAGATGACTTCGGATGTACCTCCCGCCTCGGAGGATTCTGCCTTGGCCTTGGCTTTCGCCTTGGCTTTGGCCTGGCAGCAGCAAGCTGAGAACATGAGCTCGGCAGGCCAACTGGTTGTGTGTTTTGTCCAGCTAAAGGACGGCATAAAAACCCTCACTAACCACCCCACCAAGGCCAACAAGCCAACTGGTGGGGAACGCTGCTCACAAATGTTATAAAGCAAACTCCTTCTCAAGTCGCAACAGCAATTGTTTTGCCATGAGCAGCCTGCAGCCAAGGGACGAACCATTTACTCAAAAAGTGGTGAAACGTGGCATGATTGCTACGGGGTGTGCAATACGACGAGGGCTTCTAAAAACACAAGCTGTTTGGCGTGTGGATAAAATGCCAATCATGTCTCCAAATCAAGGTCGCCTTCTGCGGCATGACCACCAAACACCAGACTGGGCATGACAACTATTGGTTTTGAACTCTGAGATCTGCTTACATTAATTTCATAATGGTTGTGTGGAACTCATGATGCTTCATTGATTGTGGAACAATCTCTCAGACATGCCCCATGCTCGCGTGCATGCGAATGTGTGTAAGTGTGGACGGCACCGGAATAAAGAAATACACGTCAAACACACCCTGGCTTTTGAAACAGTAGGCCGGGGCCACTTTCCAGGATTCTGCCACTGTGGATCCTTGATGAAAGCGCGATCACTCCATCAATGGCTCTGGGGTACGCAGAAACAGGCACACATGCACGTACACATACACATATAGTCACATGCGCATACAACGGTGCTTAAGACGCATGGATGCCTGGTTCTTTTCCCGCAGTTTCGGCTTCAGCGCGTGGTCGCCCACTCCTCGGAGGGAGTTTGTACTTGCCAGGTGTGTGCTGCCCACCAGAGGGAGGGCGCCTCAGGACGTTTACCGGGGATACATCCCCCTTGAGCGACTCCGGGTGTTGCAAGGGGATTCGAGTAACGTTGCAGCGGGGAGATCGGAACGTGCAGAGTGCAGCGTGGATAGGTGGAACAGGACAGAGGCTGTCTCTGTTTGGAAGCTCCCGCAGGCTATTTCATCAAGAAGGCGACAAGAGTCAGGCGGAAGACAAGCGAGACAAGCGAGACTGTGTGGAGGGGGCCACGAATTTCGTGGCAAAGGAGAAAAGCCGTTGGCACGTGAGGAAAGCACTGCGCGAGGGCAAGACAAGAGTGGACAAGAAAGTGAGGAAAGCAGCAGTAGCGTCAGGATCATCGGTCAGGAGCCCGGCAGCAGGGTGAGAGTTGTCTTTCTAGCACAGAAGCAGTTGGCCATTGTCTTGCTGGTTTCCGCCGAGACAGCAAGACGCACAGGGAAACGGAGCGACGGCGCATGGGCAAAACACACACACACACACAGAAACACACAAACACACACAGAGAACACAGACACACACAGACACACAGACACACACAGACACACACAGACACACACAGACACACACACAGACACACACAGACACACAGACACACACGCACACACACACAGACACAGACACACAGACACACACAGACACAGACAAAGACACACAGACACAGACACACAGAGACACAGAGACACAGAGACACAGAGAGACACAGAGAGACACAGAGAGACACAGAGAGACACAGAGAGACACAGAGAGACACAGAGAGACACAGAGAGACACAGAGAGACACAGAGAGACACAGAGAGACACAGAGAGAGACAGAGAGACACAGAGAGAGACAGAGACACAGACACAGACACACAGACACACAGACACACAGACACACAGACACACAGACACACAGACACACAGACACACAGACACACAGACACACAGACACACAGACACAGAGACACAGAGACACAGAGACACAGAGACACAGAGACACAGAGACACAGAGACACAGAGACACAGAGACACAGAGACACAGAGACACAGAGACACAGAGACACACAGACACACAGACACACAGACACACAGACACACAGACACACAGACACACAGACACACAGACACACAGACACACAGACACACAGACACACAGACACACAGACACACAGACACACAGACACACAGACACACAGACACACAGACACACAGACACACAGACACACAGACACACACACAGACACACAGACACACAGACACAGACACAGACACACAGACACACAGACACACAGACACACAGACACACAGACACACAGACACACAGACACACAGACACACAGACACACAGACACACAGACACACAGACACACACACAGACACACAGACACACAGACACACAGACACACAGACACACAGACACACAGACACAGACACACAGACACACAGACACACAGACACACAGACACACAGACACACAGACACACAGACACACAGACACACAGACACACAGACACACAGACACACAGACACACAGACACACAGACACACAGACACACAGACACACAGACACACAGACACACAGACACACAGACACACAGACACACAGACACACAGACACACACACACACACAGACACACAGACACACACACACACACAGACACACACACACACACACACACACACACACACACACACACACACACACACACACACACACACCACGCACGCACGCACGCACGCACGCACGCACGCACGCACGCACGCACGCACGCACGCACGCACGCACGCACGCACGCACGCACGCACGCACGCACGCACGCACGCACGCACGCACGCACGCACGCACGCACGCACGCACGCACGCACGCACGCACGCACACACACACACACACACACACACACACACACACACACACACACACACACACACACACACACACACACACACACACACACACACACACACACACACACACACACACACACTCACACACACACACACTCACACACACACACACATAGACACACACACACACACACAAACACGCACGGTAGCATCACGAAGCCTAGACGGAGCGGGGCGAGCCAGTGCCAAAGGATGGCCGACCAAACCCGAGTGAAGTTTTCCGTCTGCCCACCCACATTGGCGCCTGGCTGAAGCTAGTAGGGCACAAGGGCAGACTTTTTTAAGCTCAGAAGTATTGTACCGTGGATGGGGGTCGTACCTGATGTTTGCTGCAAGGTTCTGCAAGCTGTAGTTTGTGTCCTGGAGGTACATCGATTCTGGCCCGTTGGTTTCAATCGAGGACGTACAACGCAACAACAAGTATTGCCCATGGTTTTCGGAACTCTGCATTTTTTGGTGTTGAACATCCATCGCTCTATTGTGCAAGCTGCCTCAGCAAGGCTATCCCGAAGGCTGTCAGCGTGAGGTGAACCCGTGAAGAAAGGCGCCGTGTGAAACGCACGTTGTGTTTCATCCTTAACGCTCGCATGGGCTGTGGGTGACGTGTACCCACTGAGCATAGTACGCTGGGCGCCTATCTAGCTTGCAACTTCTCCCTGACACAGGGCTGCAAAGCAAAGAAGCTGACGGGCTCTTCACTTCAACCTGACGAGGGAGGTTTTGATAGTGGCCCCAATATTCTGGCGACAAGGAATTGTGTCAGAGTGTTGCTAAAACGAATCCTCTTGGAGTATAATCCTGCCCACGCTTCGGTGGCAAGTTGTTCAACGCATCGGGACCGTAGTGAGTTTGTGCGTGTGTCTTACTTGTCAGTTTGCCTCTTCGTGATCAAGGCAGATGCAGGTCGCTAACCCCAAGCGAGCGGTCAGTGTGTGGGTAAGCCGGCTAAGCCTGTGCCTCGCAGGACCCGGTTCACCAGCCAAGCTGGCGATCCACCATGTGAAGGGGGAGGCAAACTGAATTTGAAGGTGAACACAGCCAGTGCCTGGGAGGAACGGGCTTTGCTCTATAACACGAGAGAAATGCTTCCGCATGAAACGAGATTTGGATCATCTCTTGTCAGACATACCAGGAAGTGTGTTCAAAACAAAATCTGTATTGCAGTTTGGCAAGCCATGGTCGGCTTGCTTCTTTTCAAAAGAGGACGTGCCTTCGGCTTTCTCTTTACTTGGCATGCTGGGGAGTTGCGGCAACTCTGGCGAAGGCACTTGGATGCTGCCTTTGGTAAATCCGCATAGTCAGTTCCATGGGCCCCCAAGCTGTGGGAGTTGCTGAAAGCGCTTCTAGAACCATGCAAGGGATAGAAGCAGTCTGTGTTCTGAAGTGCAGAAGGCTCTACAAAAGTGTATTTTACCGTTCGTGGGGCAAAAAAGGCTGATGGCAGGCCATGTGGACTGCCGCAGTCACGTCGACGCCTTGCCGCCGGGATGTGCACGCGCCGCGACGCAGTAAAATCAACGCAGGCTCGCTCTCGGCCTTGCCACCAAGACACGCACGCCGTGACCTTTAAAGTCAATTGCTGCACCTCCCACACCGTGCGCTTGTTTTTTTCGCCTGTATCCGGCCGAGTGAGCCTACAGTGATGTTCACTTAAGTCGCGGTGTGGGTCCGGCGGCAAGGCCGAGCGAGCCTACAGTTAACATGTGACTGAGCAAAGTTGTCAAAACTTGCGCTTGCAAAGCAAGGGTCAGAGGGACATGGACAAGTGTCAAAGAAGCCTGCCAAAAGGCTAGAAAGCAAGATCTCACGTGAAGGGAGTGAGTGTGTGCCAGGGATCAGTGAAACGCAGCCCGCGCGGCTACGTCCCGAATGCCTGCGGTTAACCCTGCTGGATCTTAAGCATCAGGCTCTGCCTGGCTTGGCAGGCAACCTGGGGGGGGTTCCGCAAGGAGGGTGAGTAGCGTTTCCGGAATTTATGCTGTCAATCTTGGCAAATCTGGGCTTGCGTTGCAACAAAATTGGTCATCACAGAATTCTTGACATACACACACACACACACATACACAGGTGCACATGCACTGGTAAACACATGCGCATATACACACAGACGACAAGACACACACACACATGTACCGATGCACAAATACATACACACATCCATGCATAGTAACATGCATACACGCTCTCACACACACACACATGCATGCATGCATGCATGCATGCATGCATGTGTGCATACATACGCACGTACATACACACAGATACATGCAATGCATTGCATGCATGCATGCATACATACCTTCACACTTGCACACAACACCAGCACTTCCGAAGAGAAGCTTAACAAAAACGAAACAATTAGGCTTTAAACAAGGGTTCCTTCTGGCCACTAGTTTTTGAGCTGAACACTGTTGTTTCTGAACATGTCAAGCAACAGCAGGATAGCGTCGACCCCGGATTAATGAACCTGGATAATTTGGTGGTGTACCCGAAAAAGTGCTGTGTTCCACCCTATGTATGAACAGATCTGTACAATTCAGTGTTTCTGATCGTTTTTTACATCACGAAGCGCTCCATGAATCTAGGTGAACAATAATATTTCACCAGCCTGCCATAAGGTGGTTAGCCACATAAACCACCATTTGGGGTGAATTCGGTCGTGTGCGGTCGTTACAATTCACCCAAATGTATGTACCAGCTTTATTATTCCCAGGTGAGTCGCAATCAAAACCTGGTACTGGAAAAGTCTACCCACAACCATGTACAGGATTAAGAAGGCGGAGATCCGCAGCTCTTTATGGTTGGGATCATCCCTTTCTATCCTTCTACCTGGGGTTTGAGCACGTGGCTCTCTTGGACTTCTTGGGGTGAGGTCGTGTGAGGTCGTGTGAGGTCGTGTGAGGTCGTGTGAGGTCGTGTGAGGTCGTGTGAGGTCGTGTGAGGTCGTGTGAGGTCGTGTGAGGTCGTGTGAGGTCGTTACAATTCACCCAAATGTATGTACCAGCTTTATTATTCCAGGGTTGCCGCATTCCCGACCGTTCTGAAACCAACCCGTGCCTTCTCCTTGGGCTTGGCTTGGGCCTTCTCCTTGGCCTTTGCCTTCGGCTTCGCCTTGGGCTTCGCCTGGGCCCAAAGAAAAGGAAAAATAGGTTTGGTGACTTGTCTTGTAAAAGCGGTCCCCAATTGTCCCCAATTGTCCTGATGACCTTTGTTTCTGTAGAGAAGCTCTTGTCATTGTTTATTTTTTTTGTGACTGACACCCATTATAAAATAACAAGGTTTCTACTCCCAAGCTCAGGGAAACAATGACTGACCTCGCCCGTGCTGGGATCTGAAAGAGAAACCTAGCTCAACAAGTCTCAAAAAAAACACTCGTGCTGTACCACCCAGCTGGAAATCTTCTTTTTCCCTTTCCCGAACTTCGCACGCCGCACCAAACCGGCCTTCGGTGCCTTCGGTGCCTTCGGTGCCCGAAGGAGCCGCACCGGGGGCGAAAAGGGGGGGGCTCTCAACGTAAGTCCCAGCTCCCTGGCTCCCTAAGGGTCACGGCTATAAAATATCCTGGAAATAGAAAGAATAAAAACGTCACGAGCACGCACACACTCCGCAAACAAGCCGTCCACGTCTACAATAATAATCATACAAGTAATAGTAATGGTAATAGTAATAGCAATAATTATAGTAGTAATACTAATGTAACAAACAAAACACCCAAAGGCCTCTTGGAGTGTGGATGTCCCTTTGAGCCCTTGGAACATACGAGTGATTCATGATTCATCTCAGACTGTTGCAAGTCTGGTAGTTTCTCTACAAGCCACAGGAAATTTAAGTCCTCTTGTTCCCTCCCCCAAAGAATCAAAGCGTCCCAAAGAAACAACTGAACAGGGGTGCCCTTGGAGACTTGTCGGGTTACCTTCTTGTATTCTCAGCCCGTAGGGAATCAATCGTGCCACGGGCAAAAGCGGGGTGCCCGTCTATAGGGTTTGCTGACGTACCTGCAAGTGGACGAGGGCTCACAAGCAAGTGTCTCCATGTGTACTGTACAGATTCCTTTCGAATTGTCTTTCTGCGCCAGCAGGAACACTGGTATCACCAGTTCAGACTGGTGGATTCAACGCCAAACTCAGATGCGTGAATTCAGAATCGGATCCCCAAGAAAAGGACCTTCCTGGTGAGCTCGGCCATCCCTCCGGGCGGATTCGCTCGCATGAAATTGCCCGGCCTCCGGGGCCTTGATGGGCGACAGGTTCGCCTGGCCCCGCTTCTCGGAGTTGAGAACTGGCTGAAAAACTGGCTCCGACTGGCTCTGGTGTAGGCAGGAAAGGTCGAAATGACCCTTATTTAAAACCATCCCACAAGTGGTGTCCTTTAAGGGGACTGGCTAATTGATTCATTTCCTACCGCCAAGAAAAAGAGGACTATGGGAAACGTCGCAGCGCATGGCTCCAAGCCTTGCCAACCAGCCGGTTCTGATTTCAACTGGGGTCGTGCAACCGAACATAGGCAACCATCAGGACAGGTGCAGCAAAAGGAAGCTGGCCCCTGTCCCAGTCGTAGACAGGGAACACAGAGAAGGGCCAAAACACAACAAGAAGCAACTCACAACATAGAACAAACAAATGTGTCTTTCGAGGCCTTGACGGTAAAAGGTGGACAACCCTCAAGTAGACATGATGAAAGAAGCCAGCTGATTGAACAACTGGCATTCTGTCAATATGTTTAGTTGAGAGTTGAGCAGTTTGAACAGGCTTTTGGTTCGCCGTTCCCTAAATATACCAGAGCCTGGCTGGTCAAAGCCGCCTTCAACTCCGCCTCCCGCGCGGCATGATCCTGGCCGGAGTCAACTCAGTCACTCTCAATCTGTGTTGTCAAGACGGAACCTCCATATTAAATACGGGGATACAAAAGAAACGGTCCTCTCCTGTGGATGGACGAAATCCATTTCGCACCACTTGGAAGCCATGAGAAACCATTGCTTGGTGGTATTTACAGGGGAATCATCATTCCAGGGTTTCCGACATCCACACTATTTTGTTGAGACGCGAACAAAGAGTCCAACAAGTAGCACAAGCACTTCAAAGGCGCACCCCTGTTAAAGACTGTTGTTGTGCAGGGGAGGCACACAAGGGATCCAAACATCCAACTAAAAAGAGGTGATCCGCCCAAATGGAAATTCTCTCAGGTGAACCACCCCTCATAAATCCGGAAAGCTTCATTCCTTCCAAGTGGAGAAGTGGACACGAAGTCTTGTTGACGCCATCCTCGTTCCCTCACTCGTCCGATCTGCCGACTGGAGACTGCTCGATGTGAAGCGAAACCTGCAACTTTTGGCTTGGTGTCGAAAAAACTGGACCCTTTTTGAGACACAGGAAAGGAGATGAACCTTAGTGGCTCGTCTATTCCTAGCTGAAGAAGGAATCTTGAATGTCACGAATTCGGCTGCTGAAAGTCTGAAAGTCTAAAAGTCTGAAAGTCTGAAAGTCTGATCAAGTCGGCAGGGAACCGCCAATTACGACGACGGCCCGCTTGCGACTCGCGACTCCTGCGCAATCTTCTCGCGAAGCGCTAAGGCTTCCTGAGACGCAGTCCCAGTCAGAACCCAAGAGCTGGGGTTGCAATTCTTCGGGTAGCTCACCAAACACCAAGAATAGGCTACTAAACCGGGGCCATTTGCGGGTAAGGAATCTCCAGAGGGCCAATCAAGGTTTGGATGTGCCTAAATGTGTGGAAAACCAGCATGCCATGATCAATTTGGGGGAAGATGTTGATGGCTCCTTGTTCCTTTTGCTGTCTGTCCATTCTTCTACAATCCTTGCCCAAGCTGGCAGGCAAGCAAAGTGAATTTGCGCATGGCCCCTGCAGTCGTTTACCTGGTGGCCCCTAGCCATTGCTGACCTCAAGTGAACAACTTTTTGCTGAATCGGGAAGTGGGTTACTACCTACTGAGACATCTGCCAAGAATATGACACACACACACACAGCGCTAGACAGCTGCTTGAAGCACACAGGCACTCACGTTGAGCTACAGAAAACATCGTCAGAATCAGGACAGCAAGTCACCACAGAGCTGTCATCCAGGATGGCAGCAAAAGCGAACAGTTTGCTTGAATCTGCTGATTCTCTTCATGGTCCCACGGAGACTCTCCAATCTGCTGATTCTTTTCATGGTCCCACCCTCTCCGGGCACGGGGATTCGGCAATTCTGGGCCGCCCATGAGGCCGCCGGTCCTTGAGCTGAAGGGCCGAGGGACAATCCGCGAAGAGGGGCGGTCCATTCGGCTGGAGAAAAGCCATGCATGCTTTAGATACCACCGAAGATATGGCTGTGGGTCAAAACCCTGCCTGGTGAACATCAAAAGAGGGGGCAAATGGATGTTGATCCACCCCAAAATGGAGCCATAGGTTATGCCCCATGCCGATACTCCCTAGCAAAAGGCTCCGCAATGTTGGGACGATCCCAGTCCTGCATTACTGGATATCAAGTAGGGTGCCTCAGCTGGAGCCGCCACACACACACACACGTGGAATCGATATGATGCCTTTTTTGCCGGTGTTTGACTTGACCTACAGACACCGACCTCATTCTTGGACCAGGCAAGGGCAAGAACCCAAAGATGTGACCACGACCGACCACCCCCGATTCTTCGTACTTGATCGCCCTGCGTTTGAGTAGTTGCTCAAACATCTTGCAATTTATGATTTGCTCTGCACCACTTGGAAAACATGGTTGATATTTGCCGGGGACTCCAATCAGAAACCAGGGTCTGAACGGTGGTGCGAAATGGATTTTGTCCGCCCACAGTATTGCCAATTCAGGTTGCTTCAGGACCCACAGGCAGGCGGTTAGTTCGGCATGGCTCCGGCGTGACAAAAGGATGAGAAGCCCTATGCTCGGTTGCTTTCTGCTCCCCTGCTGAAAGTTTTTAACTTTTGGTGGTTTAATGGAAACCCCATTCGTTGGCAAAAAGTTAGAGTCCTCACATCCAAGCGAAATGCAACAATTTCTAGACCAATACCAACAATTTGTTTGCTTGTGGCATTGGAGACAAAACAGAGCCGCCCGATGTGTTGCTGAAGATATTCAAGTCAGCCAGGACATGGATCATGCAGCGGCAAAAGTAAGGGCCACTCCGTGCTGGTGAGCTGCCATGTACACCAGCGTCATTCTCCCAATACAGGCGGGTCTCAACAAGGAGACGTAGTCATCCATCACGTGGTTTCCTTGAAACGGCTAAAGTACCAGAAATTATTTGGTCCAAACGAAACATGGGGAAAAGTGTCCGGCACCTGCCACTTCTCCCATCACGGCCCTCGTGCTTGTACAGCTCTCCCCAGTTTTCTGACGGGTGGAACTTTCGTTCTGAGCCAAGGGGTCTGACACCTCTGAGGTTTCAGGGGTATAACGAGTCTTCCCGGCTGTTGCGGAGCCGCCGAAGTTCACGGGAGTCTGTCACAAGCCCGGCATTCGGAATGCCTTGGGCGACACAGGGTGTAAAGGGCTGTGGCTGGAAATCAAACAGGAGGGGGTTCGAGGGGTTGCGCAGGTTTTGGTCCATGTTTCCACTTACCAGGGTGCCATTTTTGGTACCGTTTTTTTTTGAGCCACAACCAAAGGTCAAACTTTGGGGCAGTGAGGGAAGGTGCCAAAGGACAAGATTTACGCGAAGACCAAAGGGTTCTGGGAAGGGAGGGCGAGTTACAAGGGTTCTAAGCTCTGCAAAGTGACGTCCTGCATGGTACCCACCCAACCCAAGTCCTCATCATCTTGCACCTCTACAACCTCCACTGCCATTTCCTTGTCAGGCCTAGCGGTCACTGCATTTGAGCCTCTGCACACAAGCCAGGGCCACACAAAGTAACTGACAGCCATTTCACAAAATCATGCACAATAGAACAGAACTGTTTGCCACTTAAGTGGCTTTCACAACACTGTTGAATTCTCATGTCACAGTTTGCCTCGAGATTAACACATCTTCAAACAGCCAGTTTTGCAGCAATGTGGACTTTCTTGCTCCTGAATGTCAGTTTCGCATGCATTGATGGCATGTGCCTTTCGGGCAAGTCCCAAACCATGCCACAGGTTTTACATCACGGTTTACCTTTGCCTGATTGTCGAACGCCCGTGGAATTGTTGCATTGCTTTGCCAGGAAGTGTCCCTTGAACAAGTCCCCTTTACCCTTTGCTTCAACTTGCTGATTGATCTGACAAAACCGTTCCCTTGCGGGGATGAGCGCTTTGTGGGTGGTGAACACGTGGTCTAGCAAAATGAAGAGCAAAACATTCACGGCTTCCCAGGGAAATGAACAACATTCAACAAGCATGGCTTAGCGAAGGCACTTAGGTACACTCAATCAGCCAATCCTGGGCTCCGAGTAGCAGCCTGAGCTGTGAAGGACGTACTGAACATAAAAACGTAGCCACTTGAATCGCGCAAGATCTGACATGCCCGGCTTCCTCGTTCAACACAATTCGAACATGTTAAATCCTCGAGCATACAATTCACTGGTCCTCCTGATCTTGGTATCCGACAGTAGTGGCAACTTGGTGAGTCCATGCCTTTGTGCTTGCAACACGGTACTGGTGTTTGATCTTGCTCGCAATCTCACGCAACTTGCTGTGGCACATTGCCCGGCCTGTCTGCCTCCCGCTCGTCTGAGGGACTTGTCGGCCTCTTGGCCTCAATGGAAATCGGCTGCTGGGGGCCTTTGCGTGAGATATAAGCTGGAGCCACGGGCGTGGCAGGCATCTTTCTGTGAGCCGTAGCAAGGACCACTTTGGTCCCACGGAACTGGGACCCATGCAGTCTGTCTCAAGGCAGCAAGCCGCTGGATAGCCAAAGACAACCTGGTTCCTCTGGGAAGGGCCTTTCGCAGGCAATCTCCCCCGGTACTGAGAAACGAGTGTGCCCTTTCTGATACCAACACTTCTTGGCAGCGCATGGCAACATTTCATACAACCCCGGGCTCATATTATATATATATAGTAAGCCACGGACAGAACGCGTCAGGCCAAGCACGTCGTCATGTTACAGCCAGGCCAAAATGGACAACAACCAAACAAACCCTTTGTGGTCCCGGTTCCGGAAGGTTCCCTTGATCCTCATTGTACAATACCTCTCCTGGTGTGGGGACCCCCTAGTTACACCAATACCAAAACGGACAGATCTCCTTGTGTGGGGACGCCCCGGAGGTTCCAGGTGGGCTCTTTGAAACCAACGATGTCAGTCCATGAATCGCGTCTGACTGCATGCTACGTCTAATAGAAAGCCCACTTTGTCAGCTTGTTCAACATTCCGAATTGATCCCAAGGCCCACCAAAAACAAGTTGAAAGAAGATGCAACAAACTTCACCTCTGTCTGTCACCAAACACATCTTCTGTCGCTTTGACCTTTCCCTCACATTTTGTTTTGTTCTCTTGGCGCCCCGGCTGGGCGGCCAACCGCCTCTTCCGGCGCGGGCCTCTTGGCCGGCGGCTTGGCCACGGGTTTGGCCGTGGCCTTAGGCGCCTTGGGCTTCGGCGCCGGCTTCGGCGTCACCGCCTTGGGCGACGGTGAAACCTTCACCTCCTTCGGCGCCTTCGGCGGCGGCTTGGCCGCCTTGGGCTTGGCCAGCTTGGGCTTCGGCGCCTTCACCTGGACGATTGGCCCGAAATGTGCGAGCTGTCCGCAGTTACTCCTTGGTTGATATTGGAAGGGGAGCAAAAATGGAAAAATCAATAGCAGTTAAGTGGGGTTTCCCACTAAACCACAATAAACAACAATGTAACATGTTTCCCAACAGCAACCATGACTGTGCGCAAGTTCAGTCTCAGTCTGCGCAATTGGCTCTTTTCGAGTGGCACCCTCTCGAGCGCTGTGTGCGAGGTGCTTCGCAAGTGGTTGTTTTGCCACTAGCTGCGCACTTGCGCCCCAATCTCTGCGAGTGCTCTGCACATGTTGCTTTGTGCAAGCCCTCTCCACCTAAGAGCTCGACCTAACTTTTGGGACCCAAGCTCTCTGCCCAACTGTGCCCAGGCTATTCCCAGACTACTCGCAGCAAGCGGCAAAACCACAGACCACGTTGGGCGAGTTCGATCAGGAAGTTACGGTTTGTGGGGCTTCACTATATCGTTCCTGAAGAATTCCGACACTTGTCTTTGGGGGTTTCACGAAATCACCGAAGGCTGTTTTTCCTTCAGCTAGGCACATTTGCGTCTCATCCGCGGCTGAAGCTCGTACGTTTTGTACTATGGTGAACGATTCGATCTTTACCGAGGCAGCTGTTGACGTTGCCTGCCTTCGCACGAAGCATGACCAGATGCGAATTGAATTCCAATTTGGCTTGCCACGCGCATGCTGATGTGCCAGTGGCTCTGTGCAAGTTGCTCTGCGCAAGCAGCTACGTGCAGATGGCTCTGTGCAAGTGACACTGTGCAAGTAGCTCGGCGCAGTGCAAGTAGCTTGCAAGTTGCCCTGTGAGAAACCGTCCAAGGGCTCCTCACGGAAGAACCCTTCGCGATGCTTTCGGGAAAAACAGCCTGGGGAATTCCAAGGGATAGAAAGACTGCGCGATACTGGTCCAGCCGCAAGCTTGGCAAGCCAAGAAAAACACTCAGTGACGAAAGCTTTAAAAGCGAGTCGTATGCTCATCAGTGAGATATGATGTGCTGGTATCTTGTGACAACCCACTTAGCGCAACGCCATACATGTCAGCTTTTAAGCCTTGGTGCACATGAAAAAGCAACTCTCGCAGAGGTACCAACCTGACATGACAAGCAGCTTACTTCAGGTTTCACGTCCGGGTTAGGCGTACAAACGCCCAAACAACTCCTCGGTCGGAACCTCTCAAAATGCCAGTTGCAACCAGTGACCCTGGTGAAAAAACTGTTTTTTCCCCTTTTTTTTTCGGTAGTCTATTTTAGCAGGGGAACCCTTCCCCAAAAAAGAAACGGTAAAAGGGCACCAATCGCTGGGGGACCGCCCAATTGAAAATGAAGCCGTGCGACGCTGGACTGAGCTCTCGTCGCCGCCTTCGGCTTGGGCTTCGCCGGCGGCTTCGCTGGAAGCTTCCGCCACGGCAGTAGGCCGGATATCCTGACGTTCGAGGTGCATGCTGGGACCGGCCGGCCAGCTGGGCGGCAGCATGGCAAAATTCGCAGAAAACAAACTGCATATTTGAGCACCCAGAGGCTCCAAATCGATTGATTTAGGGCCTTCAAAACAACCTGGTTTTGAGACCCCCAACCACCAATTCCTGGGGTGTCTAGTGGGGTCGGGTCTTCCATTGAAAACCCCAGGAGCCTCTGAATTGGCGAAATTCGCAAAAACTAACTGGGTCTAGAGACATAAGACATATTTGAGCACAAAAGAGCGCTTCCAGTTTAGAGCTGAGATGTGCTTGCCTCGCTGGGGCGACTTCATGCACTTGTCACACTACCAACAAAGCACACCTTCAAAAAGTGATCCTCGTTGAGCGGTGACTGGAGCCCCGCAATGATTTTGAATGGAAGGCAGGGCTGTGATGGCGCAGTTCGAATGGCCTGGATACAGCCGTGGCGTCTTCCCAAAATAGACGTGGCTCTGCACGGCGGCAAAGGCATGGGTCGTGTGCCAAGGCGTTGGCTCCGGGGAGCAAGTCTCCACATCACTTTGTTTGACCACGGGCGACTCAGGCCATCTCGGGCCCAACTGACTCCAGGAACTCCCTGATCTTTTTGGCCCATCCGGTGCTCTCAACCCTTGATCATACCAAACACTCATCCCTTAGCCCGAGCCTCACATGTGAGCTCGAGAGCGCCTCGCTGGCAAGCCTGCCGAAGCGCGAAGCGAAAGGCGAAGCGCGCAGGCTTTTGGCTATGTGGAACTCCGCCTGACTACTCGCTAGGAAGTGGACCATATATGCGGGGCTGTCTCTTTTTAGGGAAACCCTTTTGGTTGGTAAGAGGAAACTAAGAGGAACACCAGCAAATTGGGGGGTGTACACTAAAACACGACACACCCATATGGGTCCGCGAAGGCGGACTGTGGAATCCCTTCAGGGACCCAGGCGTTGGATCTTGTCCGAGGGATCCCGTCTACGTCTCTTTCACTCAAGCACTGAACTCAGCCATCCGGAAGCGAAGGTGAGCGCCACCCAGGACAAGACGCATGTCCGCCAAAGCCCCGAGGCAGCTCCCCATGTTTGACCCATGTGCCAATCCTGAAACAGAGCTGATGTGCACCACAGGTTTTGTGCGGCTGCGTTTGGTGGATGTCTGTCCAAGCATCTGGTGGAAGCTAGCGCACGAAATAAAAAAGCGACAAGCAGGTGGTTGGGGGGGGAGGGTACAAGTGAAAGGTTCATGACTCTTGAAGCAATGGCATGAGAAGTTTTGCCTGCTTGCCCTAGTTGTTTTGGTCTTGAATCTGCGTGCGTGCATCGCTGATGTGCCGTATTTGCGCTTGAGTGTGTGCTGTGCCGTTTTTTGG